CAAACACACAGACTCTACTGAGTCCATACACAAACACACAGAATCTGCTGAGTCCATACACACACACACAGATTGCTGAGTCCATACACACACACACAGACTGCTGAGTCTGCACACACACACACAGACTCTGCTGAGTCCGTACACACACACACAGACTCTGCTGAGTCCGTACACACACACAGACTCTGCTGAGTCCGTACACACAGACTGCTGAGTCCATACATACACACACACAGACTGCTGAGTCCATACACACAGACTGTTGAGTCCATACACACACACACACACACACACACAGACTGCTGAGTCCATACAGTGTGTGTGTATGGGGATAGTGTATGTGTGTAGAGTGTATGTGTATGGGGGGGCAGTGTGTGGGGCAATGTGTGTGTATGGGGGCAGTGTGTGTGTATGGGGCAATGTGTGTGTATGGGGGCAATGTGTGTGTATGGGGGCAGTGTGTGTGTGTATGGGGGCAATGTGTGTGTATGGGGGCAATGTGTGTGTGTACACTCCCCCCCCCAGCCTACCTGTCACTGGAGTCTGTTGCTGGGGGTCAGACAGCCATCTTCTGCAGCAGCATGGGCTGCTGCTTTACGACGGGGGCGGGGCTTATCGGCAGGAGGCGGGGCTTCGTTTGGGGGCGGGGCCTGTGCTGGGGAGCCAATCAGTGCTCCCTCCAGCCACAGACCGCCCCCAGCACCTCAGCACTGCATTCCCTCGGGCTGTGACAGGCTGTTACAGTCCGAGGGAAGCCCATGGCCAGCAAGTTGCCGGCATTTGGGGGGGCCCAAGGGGGGCACAGCATGATGTAGGGGGGGCCATGGCCCCCTCTGGCCCCCCCTAGCGACGCCACTGCTCCTCCCTACTCTCTGTTGGCCATAATATTCTGTTTTGAAGATTTGCTACTGTAAAACTATGACGTCCAGGAAATTCCTGAGCCCCTGATCTGATCTGTGTGATTTTGGATATGTTAGTCACCCAGATCAGGGCTATCAGGGGATGTAACTTTGTGGGGATTTTACATGTTTTAAGGTATTTTGGGGGTTTTGTACAAATGTTTTTTTTTGTGTTTGGAGATAATTGAGTTTAGTATAGTGCTTGACTCAATTATCTCCTAAGTAAAGGGGAAGGCTAATTGTATTGAATATTGAAGTGTCATGCATTGTAACACAGTTATTATTGGTCTGTGACTTTGTAACGGAGTTCCGCACAAAGTCATAAATGTCACCATTAAAATCACTTCCTCTTCACCCTCAACATAGAGCCTTGACTCCTGTGTGGTGGGGACAGCTATATTCACTCTGGGAATTGCTATACTCATTATACTACCGTGGGTTCTAATCACTAGCTCTTATAAGAGCTGTTCCTGCTATACTGTCTGGAGTAGGAGAGGTTCACCCAATGGAAGCTGGATCCTGGTCTTGGGTCCAGGGTGGGTGGAGGACGGCGAGACCCCAACCAAGCTGTGGCAGTTTGTGGGGTCTACGGTGCTGATGGTGTCTAGTGGAGTGCTTGGAGTCCTTGGTGAGCACTAGGAGCACCGATCGGCAGAGGCGGACTGACCGGTCGGGCACTTCGGACATGGTCCGAGGGCCCGGCCGAGGTAGGGGGCCCGCCACCCAGCCACTTTGTGTGTGTCTTTGACACAGACACACAACAGAATTTGCACCGACCGCTTGAGTCAAAGCCTCCCTCGGGCCCAGCAGCGCTTACCAGAGGTGGAGCTAGGGTCCGAGGGAGCAGAGAAGTATGTCATCCCTGTGCGCGTGGGAGCGCAATGTCGACATCACATACGCCCATGGACGTGCGCCGCCTGCACGGGCCACCCGCAATGCTTCACTGATCAGAAGCCCTGTGTAATGCCGCAATGCAGGGAGTTTCCCCCTCCCTGCTTACCAACAAGAGAGGAGGGAGCCAGATTCCCATCACACTCAGCCAGATGCCACCCTCCTGAAACAAAAAGGTATGTAAGCAGGGGGGTGGTTAAATATGTAATGTGATCTGTGTGTGCATGTTATCTGTATGTATGTTAGTGTGTGTCTGTGTAACAATATGTATGTTAGTGTGTGTATATCTGTACGTCTGTTAGTGTGTGTCTGTATCTGTATGTATGTTTGTTAGTGTGTGTATATCTGTATGTGTTAGTGTGTGTATACAGGGCCGGCGCCACCTGTAAGGCGACCTAGGCAGCCGCCTAGGGCGCAACTTAGCAGGGGGCGCCGTATCCCTGCGCCCGGCGGCTCCTCATGCTGCACCGCCTGAGCGCTTTAGCAAGCCCCAGGTGGCGCGGCATTGCTGTGTGGAGGGCGGCCAGGTTTGTGACCGGCAGGAGGGAGGCGCAGAGCGCTCCCTCCTGCCGGTCTCTCAATGTAGCGTGGCCGGGCGGCGCGGAACGCGGGACAGGAACCTCTGTTTCCTGTACCCGGCCGCCGGCGGACTGACAGGAAGTGCTCACAGTGAGCACTTCCCTTCAGTCCGCCGGCGGCCGGGAACAGGAAACAGAGGTTCCTGTCCCGCGTTCCGCGCCACCCGGCCACGCTACATAGGGAGGAGGAGGGGGGGGGATGTGAGTAAGGAGGGGGAGGAAATAAGGACCACCAGGGGAGGGGGG